GGGGGGGGGGGCCCCCCCCTGCGGGGGAGCGGCGCGGTGCCGCCTGCCCCTCTCGGCGGGGGCGCTGGGCTCTGCCGGCGTCCAGCCTTGCCGGCAGCCTGACACGGGCACGCTGACACTGAAGCAAACACGCACAGCCGCCGGAACGCCCAGTATGCGTTTCATCCGTCAGCCACCATCTCTTTTTTTGTTACTTAAAAAAGTTGAGGCTAGCGGACGCGCTGTGCGTTCGCGTCGCTCTGTTAGGTCAGCGGATAACGTTTCACACTTTCCTGTTTCTGGCATACATACAATCCATTATTTCGATGACAATAGTCCCTAACAGTCCAGCGGGAATCGGAGCCGCGTTGTGCCTCATGGTGTGCAAAGGCATACATCAGCCTAACCGCGGTCTTCATGGCAGAAACGTTTGTGTTTTATCAGTTTCATTGACTCAGAAAAAGTTGCAGTACTGTTAAAGCACGTCTCCAGGTTGGAGTCACTCCATGCGCTTTGATTTGCGTCACAGACTGGTGTCCTTTTGGATAAAACCACGCTAGAATATATTTCAGCAGCTCCTCTCTGGTGTCCCGGCTGCTAATGGTCGTTCAGTCCACGGGATCAGACCTGGAGGTAGTCCAAAGTCATACTCCCCAAAACAAACGTCCCTGGCATAAACTTGTGCCTGTTTTTGCCATGATTTGCGTCTTTTTCAGAATGGTCATAGCAGCTAACTGCAGAGTTTGTAAATAAACACACGCTACATTTGCTATTCCAGCTCCTTGCCTTGGGCAGGTATGAATCCAGGCACAACGTACAAGATGTTGACTATACAATGACGGTGTATTGAAGCCACACCACTATTGCTGCTGCAATCGCATGATCATTTTTGGAGACTGCAGTGTACATGATGGGGGATGGTGAAGTACTCTGAAAAGAACAGAAACTCTGAAATGACTTGTATTTGTTTTTATCGCTTCAGTCTGCCGCTTACGGTGTATTTTCAATCTGATTTAATCAAAGGGGAAGCCTCTGAAAGAAGCACAGGGTGAAATTCTGTATTCCGCCTCGTTTCTGGAGTGGTTTGCGGAGGAAGCTCGTCGGGTTTATGGTGATGTCATTCCAGCGTCCGCAAAAGACCGGAGAATCCTGGTGCTGAAGCAGCCAGTAGGAGGGGCAGGCGCTACACATAAGCATAGCTGGATTTTTCAAATCATATGAAGGTTTTCAGCTTAGTCCACAGCATGGGGCCTTATGGCTCCTCCTGCCCAGGAAACACCCCTGTAAAGTTTCATTTCTGCCTTGTACTCGCTTCTTGCTGGATTGGCAGCGCTGCTTTGTAATGTTCGCTTAGGACAAAGCACATCGCGCAGGTCTGTTTAGGTTATCACATAATTACAGAAAATGTCAGCTATTTCTGCAAAGGCAGGAGGCAAAACTTTCACAAGTTTGATTGATGGTACTTTTCTCTCTCATCCTAGTGGAATTTCCCCAGCGCTATGATTACCCGGAAGGTTGGTGCAGCGCTGGCAGCTGGCTGTACGGTGGTAGTGAAACCTGCAGAGGACACACCTTTATCAGCATTAGCTCTTGGGGAGGTGAGCTTTTATGCTAAGCTTTACCTTAGCAGCGGACTGAAGCTGTAAATGGGGCTTCGAAGATAACTTTGGCCAACTTCGTACATGAAGGAAGGACAAGTTGGCTGAATTGATCCAGAGGTTTTAGTTTAGTAAGAATCTTTGAAAGTTGCCTCTAATACGGTCTAGAGCCTCAACGAGGACCTGGCCAATTAACTACACAAAACAACTTCATATCTTTCCTTTGGTGACTTTGAATGACAGCCAGCTTAAACTGGAGCGAAGCTGCTGTCTTGACACCATGGCATCTGTTATGAGTTGTGCTGCGCAGTTTTGGCTTCCGCTGACGTACAGACTGGTTTCTTCAAAACAGTAAACAAACATTAAGTGACTATTCCTCATACAAAATCTACTGATAATGCAAATTCTGTGTTTCTTTTGTTGCAGCTTGCAAACCAGGCTGGAATTCCAGATGGAGTGTATAATGTTGTTCCTTGTTCCAGACAACAGACACCAGCTGTAGGGGAAGTTCTGTGCACTGATCCTTTGGTAGCCAAAATATCTTTTACTGGCTCCACAGCAACAGGAAAGGTACATAAGTGCACAGAATATCCTTGAAGATGATTACTGTGGTTATACTGGAAAGGTAGGGGGAAAGTGTGTGCCTTTATACAGAGCCTTCTTCTTTTCAGGCTGCTGTACACAGATTGTCCAAATAATTGTGTACTTCTTGAGATACTGTCTGTTTACTTTAATATCAGTACTTCGCAGGATGCCTGTGTGCAACTTCTGGATAATTGCCCTTTATTAAATTATAGTATGAACAGCTCTGTACAAGATGCTCTTGTTTCCTATCATAGGGAGACAACATACGTACTAATAAGAACACTGAAATTGAGTTTCAAAGTTACTATTCAGGAATGGCTTCTGCAGTTGAGAGAAAGTGTTAAGAGAAGTGAGGCCCTTGCATCTTTCCTATCAACCTTAGTCAATAAGCAATCATCTTACTCGTCACCATCTCTAAGGAAATCAATAGAACAGGCTAGATGATGGTAAAATTCTGTGGGATGGCCGTATGCAGAATGAAGAAAAAGTCTGATATCAAGGCAAATCTTAATCCCAAATTCTGTCAGATCTTGGAAAAATTTTGTAAGAGTAGTCAAGATTTTTATTACCAAAAAAGAAAAGAACAAGCAAACAAGAGTGACAATATTAGTGTATTTTTATACACTTTTGCCTGACCTGAAGTGGATGAAAATCCTTTTCTTCATTATTTCTTGGCCAGAATTTAATCTCTGAAGATTTTAATGATGGAAATTAGTCCTTGTTTTTGTCATAGGAGAAAACAGATGGTCTAGCATTATAGAGAAGATACAGATTAATGCCCTGCCAGAGTTAGTTTTTCACTGCCTTCCATCTGTGGTTCCCTAGTTCACATCTGGGAGAGGTACAAATTTCTGTGTCTCCTCTGTTGCCTACAGATATTGCTGAAACACGCAGCCGGCACTGTGAAGCGAGTTTCCATGGAGCTTGGAGGACATGCTCCTTTTATAGTGTTTGACAGCGCCAATGTGGACCGTGCTGTTGCAGGAGCCCTTGCTTCTAAGTATAGAAACTCAGGGCAGGTAAGAGTAACCTTTTTGTCCTTGTTTCTGGCAAGTGAAGCATTGTACATATAGTTTAAGCTGTAAAAAAAAGCTATTTTATGTAAAAGGAAAGCCTAGAACACTTCATTGTGAAGAGAAAGATGCTGGAGTCACACATGGCTCTGGGCACTCAAGCCAGTTATCAGCAAGTCTGAGCAACAACATCTGTAAGATTGTGTGTTCGATTCAAGTCTTTTTTTGTGTTCTGAAAGCACCCAGCAAGAGTTAAGGGGATTGACATCCGTTAAGGCACTCACAGCTAGATTTTTCCATAACGAGTAGCTTAAAAAAAGTGATAGACAGCATTCAAGTGTACATTGCTTCAAATGTATTCTACTTAGAGTCAAAAAATTTTTAAGAGCATCACTTTCCAGAACAGTCGGCTGAGCAGGGCTGTGTGGAGACTGTTCCAGCCTAATGAGTATTACCTCTACACATGAACATGAAGTTGACAAACTCCAGCTTTGGAGAAGCAGCAAGTTTTTGGTGGGATTGGGAGGTCATTTGGTTGGGAAAATGTTGCTTGAATAACACAAGAAGAAAACATAAGACTGATCTTGGGAAGAAAGAAAGGAAACAAAACAGAATGGCATGTGGACAAGGGTCACTGAGTGATCAGACGCAGACTGCACAAGATCTAACATGAAAGGCACCTCTGCTGCTGCACAGAAGGATAAAGTAGCTGTTACTTTTGAGAAGCTGTAGCAATCAAAATAGGAAGCAGTTAGAGCAAAGGGGTAGCACAAATAAGTAGGCCACTGAAAGCACTTAAATTGTAGGAAAAAAGCAAACTCAAACTCAATTAATGAAGGAGTTAGAAAAGAAGACCCCACATCACCAAGTGTGATTTGAGGTTCTGCTGCGCAGTCCAGCATTCTGCAGCCTAATTAGAAGGTCTTTCCTGCAGCTTCTGGACCTTGGTTGATCTGTATATCAGAGTCCACAGAACTCACGAAACCTTTTACCGGCATAAGCGACTTAAATTTGGCAGTGTGGCATATTTCACACATGTACTAACAGCTTGTTGAAGTTGTATTTCTAAAGTGAGAGGGGTGATGAAAGAAACGGCAAAGCTAGGTAACAGCTTAGGATGATGGAGAAGAGGCAGAGGACAGATCACTGCAGTAGCTGGATACTGTGGCAGGAAGGCCAGAATGAATTCATGGATAGATCAAATACAATATAATCCACTGTTTGTTTTTCCTTTTCATGTTTGTTTTCAGACCTGTGTTTGCACAAACCGTTTCCTGGTACAAAAGGGAATCCATGACAAATTTGTGGAAAAGTTTGCTAAAGCTATAGAGAGAGAACTACACGTCGGAAGTGGATTTGATGCAAAAACTACCCAAGGGCCACTAATTAACGAAAAAGCAGTGGAGAAGGTATAAATAAAAGATTTCATTTTTGACATCTTTATTTCCTTTTTATGATCCATAAAGTAACTTTATGTTTCTATTTCACTTTTTTTACGCTGTTTTGTTAGAATGTATTTGCAATGTGGCTGCAAGTGTGTTCTGTCCTCCAAGTCCATGTATAATAGAGACAAACGGATGTGGCCACTTAATGTAGGAGTCCCTACATTTCCATTAAGGGGAAAAAAGGGATTCCTCCTTTAGGAGAAACTGATTCCTCCTGATTGATTACTTCTTAGCGGTTGTCAAGAACATACACTGAAATTGGATACACTGTGAGAGTTCTGTGGCGATCCTGCAAGTCCGAAGCACTGTAAATGACAACTTATTTTGAAGAACAGTGCCTCTGTTTGGCAAAAGCTAAGCAGAATAATACATTGAGGTTAAAAATACCAGAGCTCTGGATGTTGTAATCACTTGAAACCTTACATGCATGGTTTGGGTCTTCTGTTTTGGATGACTTGTGACTCCAGGAAATTTTATTTTATTTTTTTAATCGCAGTAAGTCACATTTTCTGTAATATTTCACCCTTCCTAAGGTTAAAGATTATTAAATTATGTGGTTCATACTTTCTAAAATACTATGGTTCAGTTATATGCAGGCTTGGTTTGAATCCCATTATACTTGAATGCTGCCAGATTCTTTCTGTTTATAAAATAATAGAATATGAAAATAGTCAGAGTTATTTGGGAGACAAAGGATGCAGTACTTTGATTTGTTTCCTTCATGCCTTCCCTTTGTGCATCACAAATGGTGTGTGTGTGTATCATATACATCTCTATATACAAATAAGCAAGCGCTGTATAGAGTCACTTAACTGCCCTTCTGTAATTTCAAAGGACAGTATTCTAGGTGGAGACTGCTACTTCAGTTTTCTCATTACTTTCTTGTCTTTGGATGAATTGTAGATGCAGGGGGTGGAAAATGTTCTTGCCAGTAGCATCTTGACTGGGGCCACACTCATAATTCATCCCTCTGAAATTATGTCAGACTGAGAGAAATAAAAATTCAAGAGAAATTTTAAATAATATTGCAAATGGTCTTCTGCAAAGTATAAACCTCTCTCCAAAATCTTCTGTTTAATACTGGAGAGTATTATTTCTTCAGTGGAAAATATACTATTGTTCATTCCTAAAGGCTGACACTGAGATTTTTGTTTTGCATACCGCAGGTAGAGAGACACATTAATGATGCAGTTTCTCAAGGAGCATCTATTGTGACTGGAGGGAAACGACACAGCTTGGGGAAGAATTTCTTTGAGCCAACATTACTAAGTAATGTTACAACAAAAATGCTTTGTACCCAAGAGGAGACATTTGGCCCTTTAGCACCAGTTATCAAGTAAGATTATGCATTTTCCAGATTAAAAATAGCAAATAAAAAAAACAATGAAAGATTATTTTGAATAAGTACGATTCGAATGACAGTTTGCCAGTTTAGGATCTCTGCAACTTTTTGAAAATTATTTTCTTTTAAATTGTATCAGCAGGTAAGCAAGGGTAGATAGCAGCAAAATCATCAACTTCATGATTTGTGGTATGAAGCAGGAGGCAGGACTTTGCAGTTTGTAATGTGATTTGCTAGTTGTAAGTTTTTCTGACAGAGGATGACTTAGAGCTCTCTCTTCTCCCCGAAACCTTCCCTGCCTCTGTCCAGAGCAATTGGATGTGATGGAAAAACAGTCCTCTCTTATAGTTGAGAGTACTTGTGAAGTTGGGGAAATTGGTGGGCTAACCCATGTAAAGTAAATGTTTTAGCTACCAGTATCTAGGGAGGATAAAGGCAATCTTAAGTACTTAACTGTAGTTTAAATTAAGAGTTAAGCGGTAGAAACTCCTCCATTGTTTCAAAGTGAAAATTAACTTAGATGTTTAAACTACACTTTTGGAAAAAAACTGTATCTTGACTTTTTTATTTCTGATAAGGCTGTTTCTTCTCAGTAAGTCAGCAAGACAGTAAATGAACTGCAGGCCTCATTTGTATATTTTCTTTTTATATTGACAGATTTGAGACTGAAGCAGAAGCTATTGCTATAGCAAATGCGGCTGATGTGGGTTTAGCAGGTATGCCTCTCTGTCAGATAAATGTATTTCTGTGGGTTTATGAGCTTAAGTGTTATGGGGTCATGATTTTTAATGTCAGGAAGTTTCTTTTTCACAGTCTTCTGCAATTGTTCTTCCTGATTTTAATTTTCATTCCTGTATCTGTGTGCATGGCAGGATATTTCTACTCCCAAGATCCAGCTCAGATCTGGAGAGTCGCAGAACAGCTGGAAGTTGGAATGGTTGGTGTTAATGAAGGCATAGTCTCCTCAGTGGAGAGTCCTTTTGGTGGGGTGAAACAGTCTGGCTTAGGGCGAGAAGGTTCAAAATATGGCATCGATGAATACTTAGAAATAAAATATGTCTGCTTTGGAGGCCTATAAAAATCTTCAAAAAGCACAATCCCAACAGCTTGGAAGAGTGCACTGTAGTTTTAACAAGCTTCTTGAACCAGAAATATGTATGAATGAATCTTTTACCTTCTTCAAAACTAAGCAACCCTGTTCTGTATGTGTAGAGATATTTACAGTATTCTGTGCTGCCATACATTTTTACATGTTCTTTCTTTATACGTTCAGTTTTTCAGCAGTGTTATCACAATGTCCATCATCTTTAGTAAGGAGTAGGGAATAACGCACATTTATTATGCTTGGATTACCCCTCTGTAACTGGGAGGACTTGGGAGACCTGTGTATAATGAAAACAGATCATAACCTATAGCAAGGGGAAACCACACCACCATTTTCTACTGCCTCCAATGTTTCAGTGTGGATATGGGAGGCTTTGGGGATGGCAGTCTCCCTTTAGAATTTTGTGTAAATACTCATTTTCTAATGTGGTTACGATGTGACCTTCTTTTAGAAGCAGGTGTGTCTTTTTTTTTTTTTTTAATTGTGGGAGAATCTGATGCTTATGAAAGGTGAGGAGTTGCTTTTAGCTACAGCTAGGCATCCGTGCGCGCAAACGGGCAGCTATTTCAGTGCATGGTAATGCTGGCTGCAGAGCTGCCACCTGTACAGCTTTGGTCTTCTGAGCAAAGAGCTGTAAGAGAGGTCCTGGGAACAGGACAGTCCAGGACAAGGAGCTGCTGGCTTAGTGAGTAGCAGGAGGAAGATGGGATGCTTACTTGCAGGAATAACGTGCAGAATTATAAGGGGCCACTATAAGGGCTGTGTAAAGGAAGCACAAGTGGTGACATGATAATATAGATAAACTGCCTTCCATAAACAGATTGTGACTCTTCTTGGGTAGAAGTACAGTCACTGATGTAAATGTTGCTCAGTGTCTAAAAGAACATTACTCACCACCTCCAAAGACCATGAGCAGATAGATGGTTCCGTTTCTACGGGCTTTGTGCCTTGAATTGGATGTGTGGTTACACAGGTGAATGTCCATTAGGGAGGAAGGTTTAAAAACCTTTGAACTTGGCTAACTTGTGACCTAATAAAGATTTAAATAGACGTGATTAGAGGTGAGACTTCTACACATCACCTCACTATTTTGTCATCTTCAAAAGATGATGTAAAGCTTCCTTAATACAAAATAAACAATGCTGTTTAAACATTATTTTAATGGCAGTCAAAAGAAGCACTTTAAAAATGTGCGCTGTTTATTTGGCAAATGAATCAGCACTGCAGAGGCTAAGAGAAACAAAATTTGTTTCCTGTGTTCGTTAACTTTATTTGGTGGGGCTTTACTCATTAATTATTAAAAATAAATAAAAGAAGGCAACAGAGCTCTTCTTCCTGTACACTAATGAATGTACCCTGTGAAACGGGATATTTTAAAATATTTTATCGAATCAGGCAAGGAGGTACCAGGTAACACAAGACAGACTTGGGTGGGGTGGGGAGGGGGGAAGCAAGCCGGAACTGAGTTTCATGGGGTTTTTTTAAAGCACACATAAAGGTAGCATTGACTGCTACTTATTATTTCCACATATTTTTTATGGTTATATTTGTGTGGCGCTTGAGACCAGGTGGGTCTGGAGCATATTATCTGTCCGTAGAGCGTGCATCATGCCAACCAAAGGGCAGTTAAAGGACGCTTACTGCCCTTCCAGTAATTTCCAATGCACCAAAAATGCATATTTAAGATAGTGAGGACTTAATACCATTATCAGTTGCAGCATATGTGCTTGTTATCAAGAACAAAAAAAGGACGGCCTATTTCTACACTAGCAGCAAGAAACGTTATAGCCAACTTCGAAGCTTACGCTGTTGAGTGCACAGGCTGCCTAAATTTGGGGAATGCAGTGTTGTGGAAGAGGAAGCTGTTTACCAGCCCTGGCTGCCAATACATGTTTATTTCTTACTGGAAAGAGTAGCTAGGTAGAAGGTTGTAACTTGGTGGCTGGGTACCACACCACACTGATGCAGGCACGCTTAAAGACAGGTAGAGTATTGGCCACTGAAACTGCACAGGCTTAAAATATGTCTGCCTGTGAACTGCAGTATAAAGTTCTCTCATTTACTGCTGTGTGGCAGTGCAGTCTTGAATGTGGGTATACTTCTTGGGACAGTGCAGCTGCAGAACAAATTCTTTAACCCACTGCTCTATTTATTGGAAAGTGATTGATCTGATGCATTGGTGCATTTAAAACCTTTATGTCTTTTCTGAGAATAGCAGTTAATGAGTAAAAGTTTACGTTTTTTCCTAGCAAATAATACCTTATGCCTGATAACAAACACAAAACATAATTAAAGATAGGGTATGTAATAAACTTTAAAAATACCTTTGTCTAGATTGGATTGTGGTTGGATTCCAGCATAGTATCCTTGTGTCAGTAAGGTCTATATCCATTAAGCACAGAATAATCTTAAAGTTGTCTTCATAGAAAAAGCTGTGATTCTTCAACAAAAGATATACTTGAATTCTCACACCTCAGTTATGTTGATTACACTTGTGATAGTTTAGCAATTTCTGGATATTAAAACTGTGATGGAAAAATGTTTTCAGTTAATAAATAACTTCTGTGAAAGCACTGGATTTTGTGGTTTATTACCTTACGCAATGTTGAATTGACAAACTGACAGCAGCCACATTAAGTTCAGTCTCTCAGATTTGCATGGAATTTTTTGTTCTGCCAGCCTTAGCACTGGAAAAAAAGACACTTCTTTGCATCCACATGTTCATGAGGTGTTAAGATTTTGGTTTCCCCAATTACAGTCCTTCGAATCTAAATCAAATAGATGAGACTACTTCAACATAATAATACGCCATCAGTCATTTTGTATGCAAGTCTTTTATGCTGAATCAAACGTTTTACTACAAGTTACAGGCTTTGTGGATCAGTGCCTTTCCCCGCTTTCAGGATATGACTACCCGCATAATGCTTTACTTCATTTATGAAGATTTAAAATAGATTTTTGGAAGCTTTATTTCCATTTATTTAATACAGTTTTGAAGCCTCCAAAACTGTCTTTTGATTTCCAACCCAACTTAATCATGGCCAATTTCCATTTTATTTTCTTATATTACCTTTTAAACAGCTGTTGTGTTTGACCCCGCCCCGCCTGTCTTCTCTGTAAGAGTAATAAACTCTTAAGAAACTATGTTCACCTGTTCTACTGGATATTAACTTTTTTTTTTCCAGCTTAAATAGGCAGAGATTATCTCCAACCACAGTGCACAAGCTTTTTTTGGCAAGTCATTCTAGGTAATGCTTGTCCATTGGTATGCTAGGCTGGCAAAGTTACCTTGGGTGCTCAGAGTAAGTGCTCGTGCTGCTGGGAACACTGATCCAATACCAGTGAAGACAATCAGTCTTACTGAGAAGTATGTCAAGCCCGACCAATGTCTAGTACTTAAATTTTGTTTACAGTAGTTGGCAGATTGCACTTTGTTATCTCTTGTCACCAGGATCAAGGAAATGTTTAAGCAGGCTAGTGTTCTGCAGCCTGTCCATTCCCAGACACTGGTGTTTTTAGACATATTTTATGGTTTTATAATTAATTGTGCTTTCAAGATTAAGTCACAGAAGATAAACAGCAGTTTAAACAGTTTGAACAGAGTAAAATAGTGTTTAGTGTTCTAAATCAGGCAGGCACATGTTGGGAGCTGGGCAATCCTGTAAGTAAAAGAAGCTCCATGCTTTGACTTGGCATTGAAGTAACTGTCTCGCTGTAACTGGCGGAGTCGTAAGTGTAACTAGTCATGCCCTTTGTCCTAGCTCTACTGCTTATTCAAGGGCTGAACTATCTGAAAGGAGGAGCTTTAAGTATGCTGTTCAGAAGCTCTAAGGTAAATTTTTAGCACTTGTTTGAAGTGTTTTCAATGTCAAAACTCTGCCTAGGAGCTTCCACAACACGAGAAGTTGGTGGTTTATTCATTTTATTAGTGAATGCTAAAGCTAGCTTAGCACAACTGGCTTAAGTTGTTCAGGAATCACTACTGATTATCTTCTGTTGCACCAGTCGAGAGGCTTCCATCAGCCTACTCCGAGGGAGCGGGGAGGCTACTGCTGTTAGCGAAGTGTACACAATATTTATTTATTCTTCAATAAAGGACACTATGTATCTTGGCAGCTCATTCAGCAGGCAATATTCCCTGGTAGGAGCTGAGTATGAAAGTAAGAGGTACCATGCAGACTGTGGCACCATGTATCCAAATACACTTAAAGTTGCTTTTATGGTGGATGTTTTTTTCCTTACAGAAAGACACTTGTATCTCATAGTACCTTTTATTATCATGATTTAGCACAAACTTTACACACACTCTGATGCATGGATTGTTCTTTTCCAGTTCAGAAACAGGCAGCATAATCCACCCCTAGCTAACAGGAGTGTATTGGGTTATACTGCACACTAGTATCTCTGATTACTGCAAGCAGCCATTGTACTTACAAACACTAAAGTACTGGATTTGCTATAGACTAAGCCACAAAACTTGTGAAATCACCACACTTGGCATGACAGCTGGTGAATATTTACACACAGCCAATTAAACCAAGTAAGGACAAGCACCACATGAAAACTCTTACTGTAAACTGCAGTAATTTTTTTTTCTGCTCTCTGATGTACTGAATTACGCTACCTCTGAAAAAAGATACTGTTTTGCTTTTGTCAGTAACAAGGGAAGGGATCAGATATTGCACTGCTTTTATGTTTGAGTACAGACATAAGCTATGGTATACGAAACATCTCTATTAGCCTGACCTGAGTGTTGAGTCCAATAAAGAACACCATGTCTAAAAGAGTACCTGACAAGTTCCTAGAAGGAAAGACAGAACTTTATTAGTAGTTACATAAATGTAGTAATTTCAGCTCAGAAATGGTTCCAGTTACAATACATTATCATTTGCAATAAATAACATTTTCTAGAAACAGATTCCTAATATAAATTCTGTAACAGCTCACCCATCCACCCACAGGGAGAAGTGCTTCCATACAGAGACAAACTACTGGTGTGTGGCTCATCTGTACTTGATTCGTAGCCTCTGCAAAATTAAAAATAGTT